AACAATATCAAATATATTATTTTGTTAAAGTTCTGATAAAGAGCATAAAAGTTACGTAATATTTCATTGAGCCGCATGTTCCATATAGTAATTTTCAGATGCAAATCTAAAGAAAGTTAAAGTTTAGACGAGTTACAAAAGAAATGAATATAAAATGAATTTAAACGAACCAATTAAAAATTTAATCATTTCTTTTATTTGTATTTGATTTTGTGAACAATTTAAACAAATCGATCAATTTCATACAATCTTTTATTTACATAAGAAAGTTCTTTAATCAATCTACAAAAGGCAACCTCATACCTCATCTGCCGTGAGAAAGTTCTATGAGAAATTCTTTTAATCAATTCACAAAAGGCAATCTCATACAAATTTTATCTGCTACAAGGAGTTCTTTTAATCAATCCACAAAAGGCAATCTCATACAAATCTTTATCTGGTAAGAAAATTGTTTTAATCAATCCACAAAAAGCAATCTCATATAAATTTTCGAAACGTTTCACTCAATAAATTTTTATTTTTAAAAAAAAATTTTATTGGCTTATTTATTTATTTTAACTAAATTAAATAAGATTACATAACTATTCTGATTTAATAATTGTTTCAATTGCTTTTCTGAGACATTTTTCTATTTTATATATTTTAACATTATCGGGTTTATCATAATTAAGAACAGTATATCTTTTTTGTTCAGGAACCAATGAATAAAATTTTTTTTCTTTGTAATAAACTTCGTATTTTTTAGGATGATTGATCATAAAATAATTACTTCTAAAAAAAACATCGATTTTTCTGTTTTTAGTTTCATTAATTTCTTTAACTTCAATTTCATCAGGAATGGAAAAAAGTTCTTTTACAGGATCGCCATCAAGGAAAAACATTCTAGCTTGTGTATCTTGGTCTTCAAATTTTTCTACTTTCAGCAAGAAAGAAGTATTTTGAAAACCTTGAATATTACTATTTTTTTATCTTCAAGAAAGCTTAAAACTCCTGCTATAGACATACTATTTTTTAAAAAAAACATTAATATAAAATATAAGTTAATTGTAAAATTAAAGTTATATTTACTCGTTTAAATTTTCGAATCGTTGAAGAATATTATTGAAATTCATTGTTTGTCTCAATTATTTTTATGCAGATTTATTTATATAGACTAAATAAGAAATCGATTGTTTTTATATTTTAAAGAACTTTATATTTCTAAAAAACTTCTTTTATTCTAATGTTCTAACAAACTAAACTTTAAAAGAATTTCTTGGCAACTGCGTATTTTTTTTAATAAACAAATTAACCATAAAAGGCAATCTCATACATCTTATCTGCTGCGTGAAGTTCTTTTAATCGCACCACAAAAGGCAATATCAACTAGTACAAAGGAAAGTTCTTTAATCAATCCACAAAAAGCAATCTCATACAATTCTCAAAAAGGCAATCTCATACAATCTCAGTTCAAGTTTTAATCAATCCACAAAGGCAATCTTTATCTGTGAGAAAGTTCACTTATCTTTTTGAGAAAGTTTAATATAGGTTATAAACTAGAAAGAAATTTAGATCAATTTTCAAAAATATATTGTTCGAAAAGAAATAAAAGCGATCTATTTTTTCTTCGTTGCGAATGTTTAATCAATCAAATATTTTCATAAAAGTAAAATTTACAAACAATTTTTTTAAAAATGTTTCCAAAAATCTTTGTAATCTTTTTTTTTTCTGTGTAATCATTGGTTTGTTTCTTACAAACCTTCTTGAAGGTGAATACCATTTTGATATCTACCAACAAATAAACAAAATTCTTTCGTCAAAAATTTTTTTTGGTTTTTGATAGTTATTATTTATTTAGTAACTATTGCATTATATTCTTTTTGGTTTTGGAATTCGTTGATAAGAACTTTTCTAGAACATTTCATTTATTAAAAGTTTTTTCGAATTAAAGAAGAAACAAACATCTTTTGACGAGAAAAATTTCCGTCTTCCTCAACCGACAAGCCAATCGTTTTTCAAGAAACGTTACAAACTTTGTTATACTTTCAAATTACTGGAGAAGATTTTATTTTGAATTAAAGAAGAAACCTTTCTCAAATGGCCTATTAAGGCGTATTTTAAAAAAATAAGAATTTGGTTGAAGAAATTTACCTGAAAACGAATTGAACGAGAAAGAACATCATGATGAGAAACATCACACAAACAACTTTGAACAATTAGCTTTTTTATTGAAGCTGACAAATTTGATTTTGTCTCAAAAATTGGTGACTCCGAAGAAACGTCGATAAATAATGGGTTATTCAATAATCCATTATTAAGTAAATATTGGTTATTTTTAAACAATTAGAAATCAATTGTTTTTTAATTTTGTCAGAATTATGGCAATCTTAACTTTTATCGAATAATAGTAAAAGTTTATTTACAATTAGTTATTTATTTACAAGTTAAAAGTTTAATACAATAAAAATTTTTTTGCGTATTCATATAAATCATCTAAATCTAATAAGTAAAAATGATTTTTAAAAACTTTGTTGAATACGTTATTTACAGTTTGTTCAAAATCCTCCTCATATTGAGAAACTCTCCATTCCCAACACCATTCATCATATTGATTTTTAATAAATCCTCTTCCTTTAAAATATAAATTTGCCCAGGAACGAACATGAGCTTCAAAAAGACCAATCCAAGTTATCAGTTCTTCATATAATTTTTCTTCTTCATTTCTAATAGCTTCTTGGTATTCTTTATATCTTGTATAAAAATTTAAATGTAATATAGAAAATTTTTCTTCTTTAATAAAATTTTTTTCTTCTTCGGCCGTTGGTATGGAGGATTGAAATAAATCATCTTTATCGATGTTCGAACAAGATGAATAATTTTTCCATTCAATATTTTGAGAACAATTGTCCCAATTATCATGTTTTTTAAACGTTAATTTAAGTTTTTTAATAAAGTTTTTAATAAAAGGCATTTTGTAAATTATATAAGTTTTTAATACGAATTTGTAAATTTGTAAAGTCTTTATATAGATAAAAAAACTATAAAAGAACATGATAATAAAAATTAATAACTTTTAAAAATGGAAACTTGTTTCTTAAATGTTTGTCATTTGATTAAAAATACTGAATATAACTTCTCGTTCACAAAAATTAAAGATACACATACGAGGATAAGAATTTTAATTTATAAAAAAGATAAAGATGCACTAATCACAATACAAGAAGCTAAAGATAAGGGTTACTCATTTGTGATAACTTCACAAGAAAAAACAAATTATGAAGCAACTGGTTTTATTGTTTTACTACTACAAATTTTAGGGATAAAGATTTTTCACGAACAAAAACTTGTTTATGAAAATAATAGTATAAATTTTTTTATTAAAGAATCAATTAAAGA